GGAAGAGTCTATATCCTGCCCCATTGTCCTATTGCACAGGTTTATTTATTTCTTCTGTAGAAAAAGGAAGGAAAGAAGGGCAGAAGGGAGTAAGGAAGACCTTCCAGAGCCCCCCTGGCACTGCCCGTCTCCTAGTGAATGAACAGGCCCATCACTCCTCCATGTCCTCCAGGGCCCTTGACAATTGGACATAGCCCAGATCCCACTACAGAAGCCTCCCGTGTGGTGACGTGGGCTCTCACGAACCCCCCTTCACTCATCCCTCTTCACTCCTCCCATACTCACAAGCCCCCAGGATTCATCACCTGCTGGTTTTTCGCAAGGATAATTTAGTCCACTTAGCTTTCCTCTCCACAGAGATTCAGGGCCCCAGTTTTTCCATCATGTTGATTTTCTCCCATATTTGTTGTAGAGGCTCTCTGTAGTTCTTCTGCCTAGGCTGCTATTTTTTACTGAAGTTGACCTCATCTGTCTTATAGAACAAAGAAACAAGGCAAGACAGTTTTTGTAGAGATTTTATAGTTTTTATTAGAGAGTTGTCCCCCTTTCACCCCAATAACATAAACATGATTTTTTTAATTGAAAAGTTTGTCAACCTGTTTTTAAGAAAACGTTTGATTATAAATTGGGTGAAAGATTAATAATAAACAAATCAGATTGGATTCAATACTTCATTCACATTTTGCGTCAAACTATTGACTGCAATAGCCAATGATAGCATTTCTCATCCCACTTCTATTCTGTATTTCCTGTTTCACAGAGTTGCCTTAAAAACATTAAGAAAGAACTAGAAAGGAAGTTAGTTAATGCATAATACAACAGAACAAAAACTTAATCATAAGCACTTTTCTTGGGAAAATGAATAGTAGATAACATTTTATAATTGTTAAGTCCATCCTCTAAGTAAAACGTCACATGGGATACTCTATTCTCCACGCTAAGATTGATACTCTATCATGGTCTTTCATGTCTTTTTTCAGATGGACACAGGATGACCGAGATATCACAGAATACATACCATCCAGAGGCTAAGTTCCAGCAGTTAACAGAAAATAGAATATAATGTAGTCAGGATGTCAGTCTGAAGAGACAAAAACAACCGCCGCTTCAGAGGATTAGATATGTGAGAAACAAAATGATCAAGTCTGAGACACCCCGGTGGGAAAGGCAGGGAGAAAGCAGACAAGTGATGAGCCAAATGGCCTGAGCAAAACTTCCAGCCTTTCTTACCCCAGGCCGTCTCTGCCCTCTTAACAGCAGCATTGTTTCTTGCAGCAGCACTGCTGCTGGCAGCACTTCTGCTGGCAGCAGCCCTTCCCGCAACCACCGCCACATGAGCCACAGCAGCAGGGGACACAGCGGCAGGAGCGGCGGCGGCAGCAGACCACGGGGGTGCTGCAGCAGCCCCCACAGCAGCCGCAGCAGCAGGGGCAGCAGCTGGAGCAGCAGCCCACACGATAGCACCTGCAGGTGGTGCAGCTGCCACAGCCACCACCACAGCCGCCACCGCAGCCACCACAGCCGCCACCACAGCCGCCACCGCAGCCACCGCAGCCACCGCCGCAGCCTCCACAACCACAGCAACCCATGGTGTCAGTCGAGAGGACTCAGAGTAGGTGAGGAGAGAGGATGAAGTAGGTGAGAGAGGAAAAGTCTGATGCACCTTCGATTGTGTGGCCTTTATATACCGGCTCTGAGGGGGGAACAAGGAAGACATGTGATCTTTTCCATGTTGCTGTCTGACTCAGTAGTTATGAAAGAACCTCACAATCTACCCTGTATTTCCCTTTTGGATATTTACTAGGTCTATTAGATTATGTGTTTGTTTATTGTTCTAAGTCATATGCCCTAAAAATTCCTAGGAGCCAGGGCCATCAAAAAGGATGCTGCTAATGGTAATGGAGTCAGGAGGAAGGCATGAGATCACGCCTCTGGAATGGTACATGCTGGGCTGGTGTTGGTGGAGACACCTCAGACTGTGGAGGTGAGCTCTTCCTGGCTAGAGTCCTCTTACTGAAGGCTCAAGTCCCTGGAGAGAGAAAGTAGCAACAGGCTCGGTGGACACCGCCAACTGCACCAACAGCCCTGTCTCTATCAGCAGGTCTGGCTGCCTCGGAAAGGAAGGTTTCACTCTCTTTTCCAACAAAACTTGTCCCTGGTTTCATGAATCCACACTCAGTAGAAACCACAGGCAGACGTTTGCACTGATCCGTCTGTACTTAAAATAAAAAACATTAAAAAAACCACTTTGTTGGGGGCTCTTTCAGCTCTTCTAACAACCCATCTGTCCATTGTGTCCAGCACATTTGTACATAGGTTGCCATCACCCTTTTCAAAACCTTCTCTTTCTACTTGAGCCTTTGGTATCAGCTCCTTATTTTTTCCCCTCTCTCTCCCTAAGAAACATTTTGTAACTTGACTGAGAAATGAAGTTAGGTGTTTAGGAAGTTTTAAAAAATGTTTTAAATCAAGGAACGTCAAAGAAGAAAATCTAGATGCAAACTAAAATAGCCAACAATGACAGACAAATTGAGATAAATCAAACAAAAGGAGAGAAAGAAAAATATATATTCTAGAAAACCTGGAAGAAAATGTTACCAGAATAGACAATATGGCACTATAGTATACAATATTTAAATTGTAATAATTATTATTACCAGTTATTAATTTTATTAGAAATGGTGATATAAATATATGGGCAGTGGCCTAAGAACTCAATGTCTATCTTTAACAGGAACTAACATAGATGATCAAGAAATAGCTATTCACTCACTCTCTCACTCACTCACTCACTCTCACTCACTCACTCACTCACTCACACTCACTCAATCTCTCACACTGTCACAAAAAAAAAAAAGAAAAAGGAAAAAAAAAAAAAAAGAAATAGCTATGGAAAGGAATGAACAAGAAAGACGAAGGCAGCTACAGGCAGAAGCAGCCAGCAAATGGCAGGGCTGCCTGTGTGGAGCAATCTCTGGTAGTTAGATAGTATGCCAACTAAACACTCCTGGCTAGGGGCAGAGTTCAACCTCTTAATCAGCCTAATAATGCCTCCTTGGTGGGGGTGGCCTTTTCCTAAGAGAGAAACTGGGAACTGCTTTCTCTCTCTCTGCTCCTTCACCTTCCTGCCTTGCTGGGCGCTGCCTACCTAGAGAGGCAACCCCATTTGGGCTGCACAACCCTAAGTGCTATTGGCACTTTCCCAGGTTTCCATTGACCTTGGGGCCATGTGACACTGTGCCCACTGGTCTGTGATCTTCCTGCATCCTGCTTCACCTTCCTCCATCATCGATCTGCAGCTACCTGAGCCTGAAGAGGCCCTTAGCTAGCCCTGGACTTAGGGATTTGAGTTGGACTGGGCTGGGATGCCTTCTGGATATGGAATTCCTTCTAGAAAGTTCTTTCTTGCACATAGTTGAGTAGCACTGATTTTGTTCCTCTAGACAACCCAGCCTAACTATACATATGATTCAAGATGTGTCTGAAAATGACTGGCATGTAACTCTTTTTTTAAAATCTAAAAGAAAATTATTTTATTGGGGGCTCATATAGCTCTTATCACAATCCAACATCCATCCATTGTGTCAAGCACATTTGTACATTTGTTGCCATCATAATTCTCAAAATATTTGCTTTCTACTAGAGCCCTTGTATCAGCTCCTCATCCCCCCCTGCCTCATGAACCCTTGATAATTTAGAAATTATTATTATTTTGTCATGTCTTACACTGTCCAACGTCTCTCTTCACCCACTTTTCTATTGTCCGTCCCCCAGAGAAGGGGTTATATGTAGATCCTTGTGATCAGTTCCCCCTTTCTACCCCACCTTCCCCTTACCCTCCTGGTATCACTAATCTCATTATTGGTCCTAAGGGGTTTATCTGTCCTGGATTCCATGTGCTTCCAGCTCTTATTTGTACCCGTGTACATCCTCTGGTCTAGCCGGATTTGTAAGGTAGAAATAGGATCATGATAGTGAAGGGGAGGAAGCATTAAAGAACTAGAGGACAGTTGTATGTTTCATCGAGGCATATAACTCTTCACATAGTTTGTGGTCTGCTATCTGTTGCCCTCTTACCCAGCCTTGCTCCTAACTCACAGGTCAAATACAAGTATTGGCACACAAGGTTCCATTATGAAATGTCCCCAACACAGAACTTTATACATACCAGGGACTCCATAAATCCTTTCTAAATTAACTGAGGAATACTTTTCTTTTCGGTGACTCTCAAAAAACTAGATTCTTCTGACCTAATAGATAGGGAAGGCTTTGGAAAGTCTAGACATTGCGTCAGGGGTTCCCAACCTCAGAAACACTGATAATTGGGGCTGGTAGTTCTTTGTAGGTAGCCCTGGTGGTGTAATAGTCTATTAATCACAAGGCCAGAAGTTCTGAACTACCAACTGCTCCATGGGGAGGCTTTCTACTACCTTAAAGAGTTATTGTATGGGAAACCCACAGGGGCTAGTTCTACCCTGTCTGATAGGGTTCCTAGATATTAGAACTGACTCAATGCCAGTGAGGTTGGGTTTTGAGTTGTTTGTGGTCAGGGACTGTCCTGGACATTTTTGGATATATAGCAGAATCCCTGTCCTTTATCCACTGGACACCAGGAGCATATCTTCCCCCCAAACAATGGCAATCAAAGATGTCTCTTGTTTCAGGGTACAAAAGAGACGTCATCTCCAATATAATGTAGAGAACACTTGTTAGGTGTTATCCAATTGGTTCTGAACCACAGAGGCTCTATGCGCTGCAGAACGAACCACTCCCTGGTCCTGCGACACCCTTGCGCTTGTTCCTATCCTTGAACCCATTGTGGCAGCCCTGATGCCAGCCCTTCTCCTTGAGATCCTTCCTCTTTTTCACTGCCCCTCCACTTTACCAAGCAGATGTCTTTCTTCAGGACTGATCATTCGTGACACTATGTCTACCATCCTTGCCCTTAAGGATCACTCTGTCCATAGACAGATTGTTGTGTCCTTTTTTTTATTTTCTGACATGTCCCTTCTCATCTGTATCAAAACTCATACTGGACCATGAGTTTTGGGTTACAAAAGAGGATTTATTCTTGCACCTGTCTTTGGGTGTCCGCTAATTAAACAAACACAAACACAAGTGCAGTCATTGTGTCCTTTCCACAGTCCATGGTACTTTTCTGTCTTAATAGAGATGAGGAACACAAAGACATCGCCACACAATGAGGATGAGGGAGGGCATTAGCCTGAGGTAAAAATGGCATCTGAGGGAGCTAGATAAACAGCGTATGGAACAAAGGAAACGGTCACAAATTCATGACTGATGGCCGATCCATACCTCAGTTTTAAGTGGGACTTCACATGCAGAATCGGGACCATGATTAGGACACATTGTTAGATAGAAAGGCTTATAAGATGGATCCAGGGTCCTTTGACCAAGGCAGGTTGGACGAGACTGATGTGGCATGACTCATGACTATTCAACCCCATGACTGTCGTGTCCCCAGAATGGTGACATCCATCAAGAACACATCCAGATAAGCCCCCCAAGAGAGAGACTGCCCTCCCTGGGCTGCCTGGAGAAGGCGGGGTAGTGGTTTCTACTTTCTAAGGCACACAGACCACTTACATCCTTGATTAATGATCAGAAAAAAAATCAGTGGAGGTGTACTCTATTTGGGGACCCTGAAAAGGAATTCTGGGCTGCCCCTGACATTCATAGCCATTTTCAAACCAGAGTGCTCAGAATTTAAGCTCCAATACACTCTGGATACGACACCCTCACTGCCAGTTGGAAAACCACTGCCCTACCTAAATATGAAAAGGGACTATCCTATTTAATAATGTTCTTGAAAAGTAGGCAAGTTTAGGAATAGTCCCTGAAGCCTGCAAAAGGATTTTATGTGAGTTCTTCCCTTTTGGGTTCTTGGGAAGAATACCTAGGTCATATGGTTCAGAAGGGTACCTGGGGTGGCTGTGAAATTGGACGTGTTCTTCTCTATAAGTAACTGCTTACCGGAATAGGAAGCCTCCTCTTCCCAACAGGAAGGCCGTCAACAAGATGGGTTGACACGTGGCTGGTGGTCTCAAATCATTGAGCTTGTTTTCTGCTTAGCAGCCCAAATCAAACCCTGCGACTCCACCAGGGCTCCTTAAAAAGTGGATGAGAGAGACAAAAGCACAAAGACAAAGGTTAAGTCTGTGTTGAGTTGCTGGTAAGCAGAGTCCAGCGTCTTGACTGCTGATGCCCATTGTGGAGGCTACTGTGCCTTGTGCGTACCTTCCAACCTGGGCGGGACGGGGGTATCTTCCAGCACTCCATTGGACAAAATTCTACTGTGGTCCATTGCATTTTCATGGGCAGCAGACCTTTCTCCCTCACCTGTCCCACTCTAGAAGCGCTACTGAGACCAGCACACCATGCGTGACTCTGATGGTACTCGAACTACTGGTGGCATAGCTTCCAACATGACCACAATACACAGCCTCCACAGTCTGATAAAGCGATCGATGAGTGGTGGGTATTTACAATTAGACATCATTTCACCTGGACTGAGGAAACAGAGTCACCCAGGGGTCATGGCATTCATCAGGACAGGAAGCCAAGCGGTGGCAGGGTTTGTTGACCCCTTGGTCCACTGGCAAAGAAGGTGCGAGCTGGGGTGGAAAGCTGGCGCTAGAATTCTTCCAGACAAGGCTCCCAGTCTAGAGCTACCCTATTCCAAGTGGCCTTCTCCTATTCTGATGTTTGAGTCAAGGACAAAAGGGAGTCAAATCAATGAGAGAAACCCCCCCCCCCATTGGTGTTTTAGCCATAGAACCTTTCTGGTACACAAGACATGCACATTTGGGTGGTTTCCTTGCCCACAGGGAGTCCACTTTTTCTGGTGCTTAGCAAGCGACCAGCCAGCTAAGAGCGGTCCCTTTCCAACCAAGGAAGGGAATCCCCACTCGCTGCCTACAGTCCCAAGGGGCGACAAGGACATGAACCTTCATCAAATGAAGGCTCTGGGACAAGCTGGCTGGTCCTCTGAAGACAGCTGAGTGAAAGCAAGATCCCGCAGGCTCTGGAAGGCTGGCGTCTTCCTTAGAAGATTAACTCAAGGAAGACATCAAGGCTAAAATAAGCTCTTGTCTCAGGGCAAAGGCATGTGATAAGGAAATACAGTCAGGGTCTTGTGAAATTCTCCCAGAGAAGCAGGGGAACAGCAATGAGGAAGTCTATAGGAGTTAAGTCATGTGTTAGCCCCTGAACAAGGTATATAAGGGCCTCCCGGCCTAGGGGGCATCAGACCTCTCACTTTCACCTCCTGCGTCCTCTCTCCTCACCTCCTCTGAGTCCTCTCGACTGACACCATGGGTTGCTGTGGTTGTGGCGGCTGCGGTGGCGGCTGTGGTGGCTGCGGTGGCGGCTGCGGTGGTGGCTGTGGCAGTTGCACCACCTGCAGGTGCTACCGTGTGGGCTGCTGCTCCAGCTGCTGCCCCTGCTGCTGCGGCTGCTGTGGGGGCTGCTGCAGCACCCCCGTGGTCTGCTGCCGCCGCCGCTCCTGCCGCTGTGTCCCCTGCTGCTGTGGCTCATGTGGCGGTGGCTGCGGGAAGGGCTGCTGCCAGCAGAAGTGCTGCCAGCAGCAGTGCTGCTGCAAGAAGCAATGCTGCTGCTAGGGGGCGCACCTGGCCTCTGGGTAGGGACCCCAGGTCAAGGTGCCACAGGTAAGATTTCCATTCTTCCTGACTGCCCTGAAGTAAAGGCCAGTGGCTGAGCCTGGCCTCAGGCTGAGGAGTCCAATCCATGTCCCTGGGAGGGCATCGGTGAAGAGCCACCGGCCCCCACCACGGGAGAAAGATGTGGCTGTCTACTTCCGGAGCAGTGGCAGCCTTGGAAACCCGACACGGCACTTCTGCTCTGTACGCAGGGCAGCGATGAGTGGCAGTGGCCAGGCTTTGTTTCGGATGCTCTACTGTTGAAACGTTTGTTTCTCTTCTGCCTTCTCCTGTCACATCTCTGTCCTGTGTCTCTCCCCCTGCCTTGCCTTGCTGTCAACCTAAAGCAATCTGTTTCCTAATAAATGGCACCACCCGGACCTCACAGAGTTGTCAGCATCTCTTTCTTTCTTTGTTCTAATGTGTTTAAAGGAAGATGCAACTTAAACCCATCAAGCTACAAGTAAGGCCCAGGGTGTTAGTTTGGGGTGCACTTAGAGGAATATCCGGTCCCTCCTGGGTTTTCAGTGACCGGTGGAGATGGATGGCTTGATTCGTCTTCTGACCAAACCCAAAACCCCTCATTGCCATTGTAGCCATTCCTATAAGACAGGGTAGAACTGCCCCATGGGCTGCGGATATGAATAGAAAGTCTTGGTAAGGGATGCAACCCAAAGCCCCAGACCAACTGAATCCGGCTCCCCGCCTGTGGAGCCCCAAGGGTCCAGTTCCTGCCCTGAGGCTGGCGGGGGTAAACTGTGGCTGTGTTGGAACCAAACCCCCCTACGGGCTCCAAATGGTCCCGGCTCCGGCAGCAAGAGTAGCTGGGCCAAGGTCAAGCCCCGGCAGGCTTTCCTGCTCCGGCAGTATCTCAACGATGGCACTGAATCTGCAGCTTCGGGAGAAGGATATATCTGACCAGAGCACACAGGAACAGATGATGGGGGAGGAGGAGAGACTGGAGCACATCCTGACCCACTAGGCCAAATAGAGCAGCCAGTCCAGAGAGGACCACATGGCCAACCCCACTATGA